CAATATTTTTACTGTCAACCGTCAAATAAGCGAGCCAGTGTAATCCGTCAAATGTCTCAGATATCAAGCTCTTTTGTTTTTATAAATAAAAGTTTTGATATATCATAAAAACACATTTATGTAACTCCTTTAACTTCTAGTCGCGAGTAAAACTGGTTAGCGACTGAACTAACTCCCCGTGTCCTAGAATGTTAGTCATTTATTCATTAAAGGTAATACAAATGCTCTTTACAAACGCGTTAGTATGAAAAATTACTGCCAAATTCGCGCGCTTGGTTCGTTTTATAAACGACATTCCAAAAAAATTAACTGTCAACAGTCACAAGGGCTTAGTTTTAGCCTTCAATCGTCAACGTGACCACCCCTCCCCCTCGAGTCACAACTCTCTCTATCGAAAATCGCTATATTACTAAGCATATCTATACATAGAGCACTTAAGTATAAGTATAGCAACCTCGATCATTGGCCATTCCATGCGTTGTACCTTTAAGTAACCCATAAACTTAGTCACAATACATTGAAAGAGAAATGCTATAATTAAGTCCGACTGTGTTGTCTTAGTAAATTATTTTGTATGAAACACTTAAATTCAACTGAAAATTTATTTTTGTCGCTTTTTCCTCTTTAAAATCATGGTCTGTGGGAAATTTAGCGGGTAAGGAATTATTTAGTTCACAGATCATGTTCAAGAAAAACGTCAAAAAAAGTGAACATTTATCAACGCTTCTCGAAGCTTTTTTCTTTATTTTGACTCTTTAGAGAGGATTGCGATTCAAGTGGTTTCCTATCATAAAAATTCTAGTTAATTAAAAGCGATTTCTCTTTCTTAGCTTTGCAAGGTAAACAAAAAATTACGATAAGCTTTGTTTCGTTTTCAAGTCTTTTATCATTTATTGCTAACATCATCATCTATTTGCTTTTCTTTTGCTTCCTTTTTTGGCGGTGAAATGTTACTTTATCATTTATTAACGAACGTTAACCGTTTTCGCACGTCTGAAAATGGTAGTTTTATTCATTTCCGCAAGATCTTTATAATAAATTGTTTATAATCTTTTGTGTTTTAAGGCAAACATTAATACACATTAAATGTTACACCGGCTCTAATTTTAAAAATGACAGTACATTTCACTTTAATCTTTTCCTTTTCTTTTTCATCTCGTTCACCAACGAGTCAGTTAACAAGACAGGTAGTAAGTAGCTTTTATTCTTTATTATGTCTCATTTATTTTAACATTTCTGACAAACCAGGTACTAGGGACCTCAAGCAGTCAGGACAGCAACGCCAAGGTAGACGTCGATTACAAAAGGAATTTCTAATTTAAATAGAATTTCGAGAGCGGCGTCATTTGTTTACCGTCTCTTACGGCTCCACCAACGTCAACTTCAGCATAACGTATGAAAGCAGCGTTGAGTTCTAAACGGAAATGAATCTCATTTGCCCTCACGGTTTCCGTTCGCAGACGACACAAAATTTGGTGATTTCGCGTTGTTGTTTTGCAAAGGATGGCTAAGAAATGTACAAAGTTTTTAAGCGCACGTGCTGGTCATTGTTCTGCTCATTAAGTCTTTTGTTTTGCTGTGTCCTCGTTGCCGTCGCCGTCGTGGTTTGCTTAAGGTCCCTAATAATCGTCACTTACCATGTGTAAGACTCTCTCAGAGTTATCAGCATTGTTCGCTATCCCCTTTTTTTTTGCGAAAGAGTATAATTGTAACAGAAAAAAAGCTTTACTTATGATAAACTGGTCTTAGTTTTCGCCACAGTCAACAACAACCTATTGTAATCAGCACCTCTCCTTTTGAATATGGATCAGCGTACCTTTTGAATATAGATCAGCGTATATCAGTAAATTAGCCCACAGGAATGTTTGCCATTAAATCTGTCTGACGAGTGCGAAAACACCAAACTCAGAGTAACAGGGAATCATGTGTGTTTCATTTTAGTCAGTTTGAATTGTATTTCGCTCTACAGTCATGTGTATTGAACACTTTCTAGCAGCATTTACGAATAATTATAGAATATGGTCACTAATAAACACAGTATTCTGATATTCGCCTTGCTCCCCAAGTTCTGTGTGGAAATTGGTCGAGGTTATTTTGAATGTGGCTCTAATGAAAACATTTACTCGAGATGAACCATAAGCACAGCCAAGGATCAGGTTTTTAGCCAGTAGGTCAAGTAGGTATATATCTAACGGTATGTATAGCAGAATGTGAAATTGGGGTGTTATTTAATTGAAACTGAAAATTAAAGTCATGATTGGGTAAAGAGGTTTCAGACGACTGATTTAATAAATAAACTAATTTAATTTGTTAATTTTTCTGTTCTTGATGTTTCTTTTCTCCCTTTTTTTTGCACATTCCTTGGCCTTGGTATTTGATAAAAACGATTAGAGCGTAAGTACATGTTTTATTTGCTTTTAAAGCGTTTGTATTTGCCTGGCACCTTTGCAGAGCGTTTACATGAACATATCTAACTAGAAGACAGGCGATTAAAGGAAAAGTTGTATAGCATTTCTCAATAAACAACAGAATGTCTTTGAGCCACAGGTGCACATTTTAATTTTTTTTCTATATTTTTTATTTTACATGCCACTGCCTCAATATTTTAGCTGGTAAGTTGGATGTTATTTATCTCGTGTAATTTGTATTCTTAGTTTTCATGCTCAAGACGACTGAATTTTTTTTAGTGCCTACAATCACAGGTACTTCAACCAAACCTTTAGCGCGACATGGTCATGAAAGAGTTAAACCTGACTTTACAAAGCCAGCCCATTCTTTAAAATGTCCATCAAGTTTTTGGAGACTCATTTCCCATACATGGCATCCTCTCGGCAGGGAAATGTAGCATTAGGCGCTAACACTTGCTTTTTATATAGAGATAAAATAGTCCAACTTGGCTCTTTCTGGCTCCTTTCTGAAAAGATGGGTGAGAATTCGCGATAGATTGTTATTCCATAACTATTCATCTTCTCTTATCTGATATTTTCTCCCTAGCCAAAAGGGAAAGTAACTGTGAATATCATCCGTTCCTAGCCATAATGAACTTTCTTGTGGGTTAATATACATTACTGACTCCCTGGACCACCTGGCTACTTATCAGAAAATTTCAATCGTGAATAGAGCAAGAGAATCCGAGGATGTATAACACTGACCATAACCTATAGCTGTTTGTGCTAAATGTCACTGACGAAACGATGTTACTATCGATCGGTTTTAGTCTGTAATAAACGATATTTGTAAGTGTGATTATCATCAGATATCAGTCATATTTGGACTGGTTGTTTTTTTGGCTCGACAAATTCTGTTGTTTAATTTTTTACTTGAACGTAAAAAAGTGACATACTGAACAAACTGGTTAGTTTAGATAAATAACTAAAGTAATGATAAGTGAATTAACATTTTCTCTTTTCAAAATTATTTTTCTCTTTCGTGGCATGCTTTCTTGATTTATAAGCGGGTGATCATTAGTACAACATGTTCAGTTATTTCATTAAGCTTCTGATAAGTGTAGCCAAGTAATCCAACTTTATATTAAGCCACTAATTTACTCACCGAATGTGCAATCTTTCTTTTTATGTTCACCTGATGTCCTCATACTAACCTGTTTAATAGATTGTAAGTAGTCATGCTTGAACTGTCATTTATCAGTAGGCAGAATAGAGTTTATTGAACAAACGAATAGTTCCCAATACACTGATGCAGATAGGAAACAGTGTTCCTCTTCGGATGAATGGATGATACCAGCACAAAAATTCATAATAGAAACAAAACAGCGACTGAATGTGAATGGCTTCGGCCATCCTCTGGTGGAGGTTTAACAGCAACAGCTAAATTAAGAAGGGACAGCGTTATAATCCTAGTTTCTTTCTTGAAAAAAAATTGTGCAGGCATCTATTTGAGCAGTAGAAAACAACGTCATGATAAATCCTTGTGGGATGTCGGGAGTGTCTCGTTCTAACAAGAAATTAATGCGTAATATCATTATGCGACATGACGTAGCAATGCCTTAAGTAATTGATTGATAAGATCGTTAAATTTAATACTACTAGTCGCAGATTTTAGAGACACCAATGGGTATGTAAATATTGCTCTGTACTCATGTATATTAATTCTGGTATTTATTACTGCAATTCTAATCCTTTAATAGATTTCGAATACTTTCCCTGTGAATGAGATGACTGAATAAATTGTGAAATATTTGGAACCTTGGTGATTGTTGGGACTAGCAGTCTAGAGAGTACATGGATGATGCTATAAATCGGGACCTGTAAAGCGGCTGATTTATGAGCTTCAACCCATCTACCTTTTCAACGTAATGATTTTAGTTGAAAGTCTTCTTGGAAATTAGAAACCTAGGATATCAACGATGATAATTATTTACATTGGTATCCTTTACGACAAGGTGCAGATTTATGCAGCAAGGAAAAAATTTCCCCAAATATCTTTTTCACATAATTTACTGTTTTTAAAGGTTGCATGGCGTGGTCATCATGGAGTGGTGAGTGCAAAGAGTGCGAACAGAACTGGGAAAGAGTTGGTAAGTGACTTTTGTATCCTGAAGGATATTAGAAGCGAAATAAAAGGATAAACGGAAAACGCGTGGAGTTCACAGTAGACATTAACTCAACTGTATTCTTCAGGTATCGCATCATCTTACATGACGTCATCTACAAATACTACATTTCCTCCTTCCTATACAGTCTTTTTTTTTTTAACCATAAACACAATTTGCTAACATAAACTACAAACTCAACCTGTTTGGAGGCTTGATCACTCGCCCTGATCGGGTGACCACCGGACCGGCCTCGGATTTACTGTGGGTAGGTTCAATGGGCCTGGTAATGGCTGTATCGGGACTCTCACACCCAGAATCATCACTGCTTTCTAATTCGATATCATTTTCAACAGTTGGTACAGCAATAACACCAGATTTGCTAGATAAGTCATTGTCATCTTTAGACGGAATTTGGGAATTTCCACCAGAACTGAGGAATGCTCCTTTAAAATCTAAGGATGGATTCTTTTAAAACACATCTGGTGTAATATTTTCCACATGATTTGCACTTGTCTGCCCTTTTGCTGTTCTGCTCCACGTTGCGTCCAGAATTGACATGTTGAACCTTCTCGGCTTCACTATTAGCTAAATCTCGCATGTGTTCTATATTCGCTTTACCCGCCAATTCATCTGCAATACATTTCTCATGGGCTGCCGCGTAGGTTAACTCTCTTATTGACAGGAGATGACGTTGGGTTCTGGACATTTTCGGATGTAATCCAGAGACAAGTCTATCTCTTAGGGCTTCAGACAGAAAAGCACCAAAGCTGCATGTTGATGCCAACTTCTTCAGTCTCACCACGAATTCTGACACGCTCTCGCATTCTTCTTGGGATGCCGTCCAAAACTTGTGTCTTTTCGCGATCACAATAGGAGCCGGTTCAAAGTGTCCTTGCAACAGCTGTAACAACCGGGTAAACATCTTGGTATTCGGATTCTCCGGATCACATAAATTCTTCAATAGCTTATAAGCATCTGGACCGATAACAGCTAGAAAAACATTCACCTTTTTATCGTCATCGATGTCATTCGCCGCCACGTAGGCTTCGAAACGATCGGCATAATCACTAAATTTCTCTGATTTTTCGTCGAAGGCACCAATATTGCCAAAGAGTGCCGCCATTTCTACTCTCTGTCTAGATTTTGGATCCCATCCTCGTCGCCAATTTTGTATCCTGAAGGATATTAGAAGCGAAATAAGAGGATAAACAGAAAACACGTGGAGTTCACAGTAGACATTAACTCAACTGTATCCTTCAGGTATCGCATCATCTTACATCACGTGACCTACAAATACTACAGTGACAAGATGAGATTTTTATACTTGTAATTCGAAAGTGCAATTGGGGGTTTTTACCCGTCTTTTTTTAAAAACTACAAACGTATTTTTAATATTTTATTCAAATAAATGATTTCTTATTTATAGAATACAATATAGGCTGCTATCAAACTCAAGGGCGTTACACCGTGCACAATAGATTAATAACCAAACATGAAATAATACTATGACTACAAAAGTAATAAATGGATGTTCAAGTTATATTAACGCGAGATTAAATTTATTCCTTGTCTGTTTCCTATTCTCTTAACTGGGAATTGTCTAGGAATATTCAAGATTTATTAACGACCACTTTTTGAGCTCTAATCGTTTATTACATTTAAAATATTATAACCTTACTTCTAGAATTTAACTGTTCAAGAACTCAGGAATCACGGCTTTGTAAATGTAAGTGGTTTTATGTACGAGGGGAAATTAAAGGACTCAGGTGCTGGTCAAAAATACTCCTACTATCTCTTCTTAGCTATTAAAAAATATTATAAAATGGGCGCGTTGAATTAAAATTTTTCTTTTTCATTTTTCAGGACTTTCATTACTTCCGATTAGATGTTAGATTTATATTCTGTCGGTAAAAGAAAGCCAATTTTTCTTTAGTCAGAAAAAGAAAACATTATTACACTTTCCTGTGGAATAAGCGTTATTTTGGCGGGCGAGTGCTTTTTATTTTCGTAATCAAAATAATCATGGCTGCCACCTTTTACTTTTACAGCAGGGGACAGCCCGGGAGAGAAAGAAATTTGCACCAAGATTGTGAGCGACGGTCAAAAGGGAGAAGAGGGGATGGGGCTCAATTTTGACAAGAATTATTGGTTTCTTTTTCAAAAATAGAAGGTCTTCCTGAATCAATTATCGGCAGGAGAAGTCTGTCAAACTAAGTTCCACAAGTCAAATGAATTTGTATATGAGGGGTTTTCTTAATTATTAGCCAGAATTAAATTGGACAAAGAATGGAAAGTTACTTGGGAACAAAAACATGCTCATCATTACTGAAGAATGGAGTGAATTATGGATTCGCTAGTCAATACATTTGGAGCGCAAAAAATAACGAGAAGGAAAGGGAAGCTGCTTTCGGACCAATTGTTACATATTTTAAGCTTTTAGTTATTCTTTTCGTTTTCTGTTTTTATTTTAGCAACTTTGAATTGTATCTGTCAATTCTTTGCCCAGGTCCTCCTGAAATTAATCCTCATCTCACGAACCAGTCGCTTCCTTATAATTCATCCCTTCAGTTCGATTGCTTCCTGAGAGGTTTCCCAGTACCTGAGGTACTCTGGACTAAAGATGGGGTGAATATCGGCAACAACAACACTTTCACGATTCGTCAAGCGAGGCTGGAGGACTCTGGCCAATACGCATGCAGCGCCACAAACAGTTTAGGAAACAAGACATCAACACTCTGGATTGAAGTTATCGGAGGTATGGTTCTCATTAATGCAAGCGAAAAATAGCTGTGGTTGATTGTTAATGGTTATAAGCTAGTGGTAACATCTAAACTACGATTTCATGTTAACCGGTATATCAAGTGTACATTTTTTTCATTTAAATTACAGTCCAGCTGTCATCGACCAAAAAACACAGACTTGTTCAATTTGATGATAAAAGCATGAAACTTGGCCACATTATTAATCACCCTAAGACTAACATTTTGTGATATAGGGCCATTCCAAATAAACGTCTGGAGACGAGAACTACGCATGTCAGAAATTAGCCAATATGGAAACGAGGCTGAGAATAAAAATCTTATTTAAACGATAATGTTTGGAGCAATATGTGACAAAAGCTTGCAAACATGAACCACTAGGTCATTTAATAGATTTAAATAATTATTTATACTGGCATGTGACTATCTTCCTTTACATTTGTCATAGTATTTGGGTACTCTGTGGTGAAACGTTGGAATACATATGTTTTTAGTGTTTTGGAGGGGGGGGGAACATAACGGGGTGTTGTCAAAGAATAAACAAAATTCTCTCAGCACAAAGTTGCATGCCGCTGGAATCCCGCTTAGGGGTTGCAAGGTTTTGTCTCAGCACTAGAGCTTAGGACTTGCATGGTTTTCAAGATGGCAGCCACCATCACGAACAGTCATTTAAGGTGAGAAACATTTATGATTTCACGTAAAATATGTTATTTTTTGCCATTATCGATGAGAAATAGATTAATTTACCCCCAGAACAAGATGTTAGTGTAAAAATTGGATATTTCCACCTTGTTTTTCGTCCTATAAAAACTGAAAAGTAAAAATTAACTTCAATTTTCAGCTAATCATGGACTGGAAGCGATGCGTTATTTTCCAGAAAACCACGGGTGAAAGTTTACAGTGTCCTGCAAACTCGAAAAGAAAAGATGCTGGTGCTGGTTGCGTTTCCTTTATTAGAAATACCCAGGAGTTCAAGAAACTCGGAATTAATGTGATTAGCTGTGAGTTTCCGGTAGATGAAAACGAAGCACTCGAACAAACGCTGCTATCCAGAATGGTTCAAGAATTTGAAGGCGGAAACTCGTCCACAGAGGAAATTCTGACCCATCATGAGCAGAGGCCGGCTGTCCAGAATGCATTCTCCAAAGACGTTCTAAATGCTGTATCTTCATATGAAGAACTTAGAAACCCGTTTTTTGAAGAAGGTGAAAACCTGATGGCGAACCATACTAAGGATACCATGGATGATGCTGTAGTCAGAACTGTCCGCAATGCAAGAGAGATTGGAGAGGAACAATTCAATTTGTTTATGAAAGAGCGATTCATTGACAGAAGCAAGCCAGCTACATACCCGCTTAAGAAGAATAATCTCCCTACACTTCGAACAAGGAGATCGTTTCGAAAAAAAAAGGCGAAAGTGGAAGTTTTGAAGGAGGACTGTTTTCTCTGTTTTCGAGGCCGTACATAGCTCATCAAATCCGGAAAGGAAACTTGGAAGATATCTTCAAATATGAGAATTAACCATGACCACCATGACTTTCACAGCTTGGCCAGGTCAGGAGAGGAAAGAAGGCAGACTTGCTGAAGTGTTTTCCCAGCACATCAGCTCATATCGCACCTCAACCAGTCGTTGATGCAGTCATTATTGATGGAGCTGTTATCGTACAGATGTTACGGCCAAAAACAGTGCGCACGTTTGATGAGTACTTCAGTACTGTGTTCGCCCCTTACATCCTGAGACACCTTGAAGCAGCGAAAAGAGTATGGGATGTCTATCAGGATGATTCACTGAAGAGATCATTGCCAGAAAAGAGTGGTTCTGGAAAACTGTGCAAAGTAATGGCACCAACGAAAATTCTCGCTGACTGGAAAGGTTATCTAAGAGTTAACCACAACAAGGACGAACTGTTTAAACTTCTTGCAAACAAGGTATGTACCTGATAAGATTTAGTTCTTGAGCACAAGTGGGGCTTTTTAGCAGTTTAAACATATCGCTAAATATATCTTATTCACAAATATTTGTATTAATTGTGTTGAAGGTGGTTTTACTGAAGGTTCCCGAAGTTAATTAAGGAGATCAATACGACCTATGGCGAGAATGTCCTATCTGCTACTAAGAGAACGGATCTTGGTGTCCTTGCGCCCTGAAACCATGAAGAGGAAGATACCTGCTTAATGGTCCAAGCCCTGGATACAACCTCACGCGGACATCGACGAGTCTGAATTAGAAGCAACGATACAGATGTGGTTGTGCTTGCTTTTTCAGTTGCTAGCACTCTTAAATCAGATGAAGGCTGGGTTACCCATGGATCTGAAAAGAATGTAAAAAATATTCCTGCGTATGCCAATGTTTCATGCCCTAACTGGATATGTTACTGTGTCGTTTTTTAATGGGCGTGGAAAAACTACAGCGTGGGGTGTGTGGGGGGTCTTTCCTGAACTCACACCAGTCCTCAGAGTCCTTGAACATCACCGAAAGAGATCACCGATGATTGCATGGCTGTGCTTGAGAGGTTCGTTGTCCTTTTGTATGACCGTACGGGAAGCCTTGTGAAAGTTAATGAGGTGCGACAGGAGCTCTTTTAAAAAAAATTCGAGTAATCTGGACGGCATCCCCTCTACCAGAGCCTCCCCTGAGCAGTATGTCAAAAGAGCGGTGTTCTAAGGAAGGCACGTGTGAGGCCAAACCCTCCTTCGTCATCCAGTGCTTCCAAGTCCATCAGACTGGGGATTGCAGCAACAAAACAACATCTGATTATCCTGCTGGACAGCCCTCCCACATGCAAAGGACACTTGTTACGAACTCATCCGATGTGGAAGTAAAGCATCATGTAGAGGAAGGTGCAAGTGCATTAAGGTCAATTTGGCATGCACTGGCTTGTGCAACTGTGGCGGTAACTGCCAACACGTGTAATTATGTACATTGCTGCAGCTAGCAGTTGGTGCATGTCGACCAAACTTTAGTATAACACTAACTGTTTGTTTAATTTGGGTAAGATAGATAAAGATTTGTCAGTTCTACTAAAGAAAAAGTTTAGTTCAAAAGTTCACGAGAGGGTTCCCAAATCAGTGAACACAACGTTTATTTAGGGTGTCGTACAGCGTCCTAACAGAAGAGAAATTCAAATGAAGGAAAGATATAACTGTTTAATATTCTGAGATAAACTACTTTTAGCAATATCGTTATTCAGAAAACACTGCAAGCATGTATATTTAACGTTTCACCACAGGGTACCCAAATACTTTGATAAATATAAAGGAAGATAGTCACGTGACAGCATTAAATAAATATTAAATTTTATTAAATGACCTGGTGGTCCATGTTTGCAAGCCTTTGTCACATATTGCTCCAAACAGTATGTTTCAAATAGGATTTTTATTGTCAGCCTCGTTTCTATGTTGGCTAATCTCTGACATGCGTAGTTCTCGTCTTTTGAAGTTTATTCGGTATGGCCCTATATCACAAAATGTTAGTCCTAGGATCGTTAGTGATGTGGTCAAGTTTCATGCTTTTATCATCAAATTGAACAACTTTGGTCGATAACCGCTTGACTATCAATGCAATTGCCTGTTTTCACATGACGTCACGCGGTATCCCTAATTGGGTGTCCGCCATTATGGAGCCCCTCCGCACTGTAATCTGATGCTAGCCACTTCACACGAGTCTCGCAGTACTTTTCGATAAGATCATGGATATTTCACAGGAAAACTGCGATGAGGGCCCGGATAGCCTTTCTAAAGATACACCGGTGAATTCTGAGTACGCAAAAGGTTTACAAACGCAGGTTAAGAGGAGATATTTACAAAGAATCTCACAAGTTGGAGTCGACCCTGCTAGTATCCCCAGCGATCAGTTCGATCCTGAATGCTTGCCATCTGTCGAGACTACGGACTTGCTTAGCTACCTAGTTTTGGAAACTAGTTACTACACTAAGCAGTAGTTTAAATGCCACAAAAGCTTGGAGGCTTACAACCAGATGGTGAGCGGATTTGTTACAGACCAAGCCAATGACTGCGGTGTGTTTGCAATTGCTTTTGCAACATGTCTTGCATTTGGTGAAAATCCTGCTCATATGACATTTGATGTACTTAAAATGCGGCCACATCTGGCAACATGCCTTAAACACAAAAACATTTCTTTGTTTCCACACTTCTGGGCAATATCAGAGTTTTGGAGACTTCCAATAATGTCCATCCAACCCCCACCCCTCTTACAGAGTTTATATGATAATTTCTAACCACTACCCCCACGCCCCTAGAATTTCCAATCGCTTCCATGAGAGGAGGGAGGGATTTATGGATATTATTTTCTGGTACAACACATAATTTATTTTCTTTGTAAAAGTCTGATGCACACTAGTCGCATAGCAACATAACATACCCCTCTGTTGTTTTTCCTTGTGTCAGTCAGAGAGTAAATGTCTAGTGTGCACCAGACACTTTATCTGATCAGAGCTAAATGCAGACATTTCAAACAAAATTTCCTCAATGTTACTGAAAAATAAAAATATACTGTTTTTCATAATTCCTCTCATTTGAGCGCTCAATCACCAACTGGTAACCTTTTCTGAAATAGCTGTATATCACAATTGCTGATATTTAGATATTGCCACAGCCAGTCAACCTGTTGGGGTTAACATTTCAGAATTGAAGTAATGTGAAGTTTGAATAATGGAAAATGAAGTATTTGCAATTCCTAAAAATGATAACCAAATCACTTCTTAATGGTAGCTTCTGCAGTTAGGTTTATTCATTAGCTTTATTTTATTAGGATACACTACAATAAAACTGCTAGTTAAAATTTGATGATAATTATTTAATTTTTTTCCTCTATATGCATATGTACAGGCATATGTACAAGCAAAAACATTCGTTCATAGGGATTTACTCTTGTAGGCATAAATGCAAGAAATGGTATTTGCATCTCTGAACATGCTCGGAACTTGAAATTTGTAACAAATTTTATTTTTTCACAAACATTTCAGGATGATCAAAT